GGTCAGGGAGGAGGGGGAGGTGGTGGAGGGGGAGGGGGCAGCAGCAAGCGGCTGCCGGTGGCTGGGGTTCGTGGCGGTGTGGAGGCGCGGGATGAGCCCAACGACGTCAACCACGACGTGGGCGAGTTCATGGCCAAGGTGTGCAGGAGAGAGACCTGAATGTGTGCGTATGTATGTGCGTGTGTATGTGTGTATAGGCGCACGCATGTTATTGTTATTGTTATTGCTGTTATTGCTGTTATTGCTGTTACTGTCGGTGACCACCCGAATGGGGGGAAGGCGAGTTTCGTTGAGTGGACTGACATGCGGAGAACTGGATCCGGACGAGAACCAAATGACACGTTTTAATTGTGTTTCAGGTACATACAGACGTACATACATACGCACATACATCACAATAAAGAGCCTGAAACTAATATCCCTGGGTAGGGGACATATCAAGGGCTGTCTTGCCGCCATGCACATGTAAATCAGTATAATAAACTATACTGCTGAACCCCGTCGGTGAGGTTTGAGTTGTGACAACCACACCGCGCCACATCCCACCGGGGGGGGCGGGGGGTCGTCCGGCTATGATGATGCAGCAAACAAAACACACACACACCGCAGCACTCCCACCCGGCCGCCCTATCCGAGCCAACACCTCCCCTAACCTCTTCACTCCTCACGCTCCTCACGCTCCTCACGCTCCTCGCCCCGCAGACTCTCTCCCCCCACGGCCACCTCCACACCGCCCGAGACGAGGGAGGCGGCTTCGCTGACAAGGAACTCTGAGCGACACATTCGTAGCGCTCTGTGCTGTACGGCACATGCGTGCGACATACACGCGTACGAGTGAAATCCCTTAAAAGCCTCACAAACCCGTCCAGCCCAACCTGTACGTATGTCTGTATGTCGGTCCTAATGAAGCTGAATAAGAATGTAAATGAAAGCGGCTGGCACAATCGCATGCGGGCTGCCGAGCCTGCCGAGCCTGCCGAGCCTGGCGGGCTGGTCAGGCAAGGGCACCTGCACCGCCCATCCCACCCCACCCCATCCCACACCAACCCCGGTGTCAATTACAGACAAGAGTCCCCTGTTCGGTCTACGTTGGTTGAACATTATTGTTGTAGAACATGCTGATTAGCAGTTAGCGGTTAGCGGTTTAAGGACGGAGGAAAAGCTGTTGGGCGATTGGGGCGCACGCTCGCCTACACGACGCTTTGATGTTGGTTGGTCCCCCGGGGGGGGGGGAAGGCCCGCGAGGGGAGAGGAGGAGGGACAGCAGTGGAAGGGGTTTATGGCGGGGGGAGGGCGGGAGGGCAATGTTGTCCAGGGCATGGGTAGGTGTGTGTGTGGCGATGCCGCGGCGGCGGTGCTGGCGGACGAGGAGGGATTCCTCACACTCCGAGGCTGTCCGGTGGTATCATCAGCATCGATAACGATGGAGGTACCGACACCGTTCGACATGCGTGCATGTGTGCAAAAGCGTGTGTGCGCATGTATGTATGTATGAATGAACGTGTGTGTATGGGAGGGGATCTTTTATAAAGGGGATAGGAGGCGGGGCTATCTCGACCGTACGGGTCGTTCTGGTCCGTCCACCGTCGTCAGCGAAATGTAAAAAGGAAATCGATAGGGATTTGGATTTTTGGGGGTTTCGTCAGCAGATAAACTAGGGGAAAAAAACGGTTGCCGCCGCCGATGAAGATTGGTTTTGTAGTTGGATCGTCCGGAGCCGCTGTACGGGCGCTGGCTGCGAGCGCGGGATTTGAAGGAGCAGTCGCCACCGCGGCGGCCGCAGCTGGATGGCGGAGGTGGGTGCCGTTCACGATATTGCCGGCCCCGTCGTTGTGATGCCGCGGAGGGGCACTCCGGCGCGACGGCGACGCCAGGCTCGCCGCCGCCAGCGCCGCGGCTGCGGTCACCCCAGCACGGTTGCCAGCGCGTGTCGCTGCCGCTATCCGTTGTGCTCGGTAACTCACTGTGCTGCGGAAGTGCTGCGGTTTCTTCGTAGTTGAAAATGTGCGCTTGTTGAGTGCAAGTCGAAGGGCAGCGTCTGCGTGCGCTATGTTGTCGTACATGTATGTGAAATACAGGTGAGAATTCTGAATTTCAGAGACGCGAAGAGCGGTGCGAGAGTCTGCTGTCCTCTCGTCTAACCCAAATAATTATCTTTTAAAAACATTTTCTTCTCTTTCTCCCGTCCGCTCCCCCGGCACATACTTATGTATGTGTACATATGTATGTACATATGTATGTACATATGTATGTGTGTGCACACGATATACATATATGTGTGCGCACAAATCAGATGGCTGAAGAGCAACGAGAGCTCTGTGTGGAGGCCAGTAGGTCTTGCTAGTGCCCAACCAGGGTTATCTTAACCTCGTCAGCGGTGTGTGTGTGTGTGTGTGTGCGTGTGTATGTACATGTCCCTTTTCCCCCATTTCCCCAACCGCCCAACAATGTGGGCACATCCTGGCTGCCGCCTCACACCACTCGGGGAGTTTAGATAGATACGCGAAATGTGATGAATATGATACATGATGATAATATCATTACGGAATATAAATGACGGTAAACAGGATTCCGACCGACCGTCGACTGACCGACCGTCGACCGACCCTGTCATGTAGTAGCGGTAAGCCAGCAAAGGCCCCAGCAGAATGGGAGAGCAGAAGGGCTAAACCGCACCCAGCAATCCTGCAAGGCGCGCTCTCCGTACCATGATCTTGGCAGCCAGCCCGCAAACATACATACATACAGGCAGGCAGGCGGCTGGCAGAGGTTAAGGCCTGACTTCTGCACCTGGCCGACCCGGGTTCAATCCGCCTGCCGGCTCCTCGGGTGTTTGAGGAGTGGTGAATTGGGAGGTGGCCCCCCATCATATGGACGATGTAGGACGTGATAAAATCAACTTGCGAGCTGACCAGGAACTAAGTTGATGCGCCGTTGATCCGCTAGATTTGGTTGGATGCTGGTGGTGAGTTGCCGAACCCAACGAATACATTCTGAAGTCGGATGGGGTGACGGATTAGGGTGCCCCTCTAGCAGGGGAGAGCAGGGACTGCCTCGGGAAAGGGGGCCGCTGGCGAAGTTAACCACCCTGTAACAACATACATACATACAGAGTTGAAACCCCGGCGCCCCACGACATTTCAAAATAAAGGGGAACCCACCCAAGCCAACAAAGACACGGATTTCAAACAGAATCACCAGTCACACAGTCATCTCGGTGCGGGCTCCCAAGTCGGGGCGGCGTGGCGTGATTCCGAACCGGTGCATGCTAGACGGTCTATGGCCGACACTATGAATGGTCCGTTCACTCTTGAAGAGGTTGAGGCGGCTTTGTCGTCCCTGTCTAATGGGCGTTCCCCGGGTCTGGGTATGGTTCCGGCCGAGTGCTACAAGTATGCCAAGCGAATCCCTCGTGAAGGTGACGAGGACAGGGTGTCTGTCAATGTTATTGCCCCTGCGATTCGAGACCTTTTCCAGCACATTTGGGATACAGGGGATGTGCCTGACCAGTTTTGCGTGGCGTCTCTCAGTCCGTTATTTAAGAAAGGCGACCCCAGGGTCAAGGACAACTACAGGGGTCTAGCTGTGGGATGCGCCATTGCCAAATGCTATGCCACGGTTCTCGACAGGCGGCTGGCAGCTTTCGGGGATAAAGATGGTGTCCGGTGCCGTTTTCAGGCTGGGTCCCGTCAAAAGCGCAGTACAGTTCATCAGTTGTTCGTTGTTCG